CACACAGAACAGTCCTCATCGTCCCGCCCTGGAATGGTGCTGGGAGGGAGGGGAAGCTTTTCTTGAGCAACTGAGTCTCCTCATTGCTATGCCGAAGGTGGAGACACCTTTGGGTGGCACCATGTTCCCCACAGATGCTCAGACAACAGGTGGTGGCTGACTAATTTCTCGAATACTTTCATTGATCCATGTATAAATCCAAATGTAACAATACATGAATGAACCAAATGAGCTGTGTACGAGAGAAGGCATGGAACCATGTCCATGACAATGACTAGAAATGAAATCTTTTTATCAAGTAGGACATAAGGATTTGGGGAACCTATTATTCATGCTTATCTCGAGTGGGGCAGAAGTAGGTTTACAGTTGTCAGTACTAGAAACACAGAGTTTATTCTCTTACGGTGATTTACTGGCCATGGTATTATTTTCCATACAAACAGCTGCATAGTCACTTTTGCCTGTCTGTGTGTACTCCGCACACCTGCAGACTCTTTTAAAATATATCTTCTTTATTGGAAGTAAGGGCATTTTTCTTTAATCTATGCTATCTACCAAAGGATTGTTAGTTTATTTTTTTTAAGTATTTATCTACTGTAATAACTATGTATGTTGCCAGGTGGGTACTGGAAATATCAGGGGGACCACTTTGTAAAGTATATCCTTGTCTAACCACTATGCTGTACCCTCAAAACTAATGCAAAATAATGCTGAATGTATAAACATGCAAATTTATACAATTTCTACGAAGAACAATTTGGTGATGTATAACAAAATTACAAATGCACATTCGAATTTATCCAACAGATATAATTTGCACACCATGGCTACATTATACAAACCCAGAATTAAAGAAGTTCTAAGATGCATTGTTAAGTGAATAGAGCCAAGGGGCAAAACATTAACATTTGTTTTTAAAAGGGAGAGAAGGAGACAGCCAAGCAGATTTGGTATATGTGCTATGCACGCCCTGGAAGGACAGATAAGAGACTCGCACCATCTGCTGCTTCTAGAGACTGGGGCGCCGGAGACCGGGAGAAGGACTTTTCTCCCACACTCTCTTTTGTGCTTGTTTTTGTAAGAATCATATAAATGTAATATTTATTTTAAAAGAATACAAATTTTTTAAAATATATCTTTAAAAAGCAGTGTTTGTTAGAGGTCATTCTAAATGGTATATGGATTTCTGAATTTTCTTTATCGGGTTTTTTAAATGATTGGGGGGGGTATATTCTCTTTCTCTCTCTCTCTCTCTCTCTCTCTCTCTCTCTCTCTCTCTCTCTCTCTCCTCCCTCTCTCAGTGGAGGTTTTTCTTCTGTTTTGTTCTGATTTGCATACAGCAGGCAGGTGGAATTCACAGAGTTCTATTTACAGTTTCTCTCTTTGGGTGTTAAGAAATTTACTGTACTCATGGGTGGTGGTTAGTTTACGTGACTCTTGGTGTGCCCTCAGCACAACATTCTTATCTATACCTTTATTCAGGAAATGGAAATTGCAATTCTAATTCTGATTGCATTGTGTTTCTGTGTGTCAAATGGATCCTATGCTGTTTAAAACAAAATATATTCATCAGAGATGTCAAACTACTTATATATTCAGCAATGATTTCAGGATTAAAGACAAGTGCTAATACATTATAGTGGAAAGAAAACATCTTATTCTTACCTAATGTTTGCAATCATTTAGCATCACTGAGTAATGCTTCTGGGTTTTTTTAGGGGTGGGGTAAGTCTATAAAGAAATATTTGATATTCAAGTGGACCCAGAAGAATTCCTCCTTCCCTGGAGGAGAAGCAGATGATAAACCTAGCTAAGAGGATAAAAGTGGGAGGGTGGAGAAGGGCCAGAGACAGCTGGAGGGCAGGAGCACAGACGTGTTGGGGGGGGGGGGCGATTCATGGTGCACAGGGAGAAGCCAGAGGAGCTTGGGGAATAGTGTCAACTGTAAAGTAAAGATGAATTCACAAGCCCACACTATGTAAGCAATATTGACGTGCAAGTCTAGCAAATAACGTTTCAATGGCCTGAATGTTAGAGAAAAAAAAAAAAATACTACTAATGGCACAGGGCACCTGGTCAGGTAACCAATGATATAACTCAATGGAGAATTCAGAAAGAATAATCCATGGGTTCATTTGGAGACTGATCCAGGAATTTAGTAAATTTATATATGAAAAAAAAAAATGCTAAAACTATTTAAACATCTCTCTCTTTTTATTTTGAAACAATGACATTTTTTAAGTGAGTGGAAGCAAAAGCATCCCAGGGTAAATCATGGCCAATTAATTAAGCTTCATGATTCTACTTGCTGGGAACAGCAGGCTGCCCTGTCAGGACCAAAGGGCTCCCTTGAGCAGGCTGGGGCACACCCTCCAGAAACCCGTCCCTGGCCAGGCACGCCTTGGGGAGGAGACTTGTTTGTTTTGTTTACGTTAGAGCTACCCCGGTTTAAGTCCTCAGCCTCCCTGCTTTCTATCTGAACTGGAATCGACTCTTTGAATTTAAGTTTTATAGAAAAGTGTTCCCCAAACTATATGAGTCCCACTTTCCCCAATTACAGTTTTATTTTCTTTTGTATTTCCTGTTTAGCCGAGCAGGGGCATGGGTATAAAAGTTTAATAAGAAAAATTCCCAGCATTAAAATAAAAAAATCTACAGCTGAAATGTCTCCCCACATTGTATGCTTGTCCTCGCGTGTCACCTTTCTGTGACTTCCTTGGCTTCTCCTGCATCGATCAGCTGCTTCCGCTGCTGCCTTTGGAACTGCGGTGACTCGGGGGTCAGCTTAGACAGTGGGACGTATTTACATCAGATTCGGGGAGTGTATTATTAGGGTGTACCCCATCTCTTGTACAGCATAGGGAGTGCAAAGTTATTTTACCAATACTTTTCCAGTATTACCAATACTTTTCCAGTAGTTAGCCCGCATCCCAGAATTTTTGTTCAGTTCTGTGTAAATATAACTGCTATATCCAACCTGAAACTACTAAAAATTTAAATTGTGAGGTAGTGGAGATTGAGAAACAATCTCATTACAATGAACCAGCGTCATTGGAATGATTGACCTGGTAGAAGGGTCCAATCAAGTGAGTGAAGAAGAGTGGTTAATATTGGAGTTACTCTATCAGTACATTTAAAGTGCAATGTTAAGTTCTGACATGAGCAAATGTATTGAACTAGTTGTAAGCTGGAGTGTGCCCCCAGCTCACTTTAAAGTAGAGATACCAGGGCACATACCTAGATTGTAGGTTTGATCCCTGGCCCTGGATGGGTGCCTGTGGGAAGCAGCCAATTAATGTGTCTCTCTCACATGTTTCTATCTCTCTCTCTCTTCTCCTCCTCCTCCTCTTCCTCCTTCCCCTCCTCCCCCTCCTCCTCTTCCTCCTCCTCTTCCTTCTCCTCCTCCTCCATCCTCTCTCCCTTCCACTATTTCTAAAAATCAATGGAAGCAATATACTCAAGTGAGGATTAAAAAAAAAAGTAGACCTATTCAAAGTTTAAATGTCTGGGGAAAGCATTCAAAACTGTTTCTCTGAATCACTGCCACCAGATAAAACTACAAATGCAGAATGATTGCAAAATTAATTCCCCAGGGTATGTAATTGGCATAGATAATCAAGCATGCAGACAACATAAAGGAGTAAAACCCTTTCCATAAGAGAAAGAAGAGAAGAAAAAAGGGAGAGACCCAACAAAAGAAGGGATGACCCCAAAGAGAATTCTTGGGGCCCTTTTGCCATGCCCGTAGATAGCTGTACATTTTGGCAGCATGTAATTTTAAAGTTAACAACTATCAAGCATTTTCTTTTGTGTTCACTTTTCCACCTCCCAGCAGCCTTATAAAGGGAACAGGATTGGCACGTCCATTTTGCAGAGGGGACTGGGCCTTGAGATGTTACTGCCTCACCCAAGCTTGTCACCTACCAGGTGCACAAAGTCAGGACTTCAACTTAGATTCCCTGACTCCCCATCCAGGGCTCTTCCCACCCCGTTCTCAGTGGGATCCCTGGAAAGGATCTTGAGACAAAGAGCACCTGGAGGCCAAGAGGAAGAAGAGTTTGATGATCAGAAAGCAGAAATTAAGAAGTGGCAAAGGATGTGTGCATGAACAATGGACATGGACAGCAAAGCTGGGGACAGGGCGGGGCGAGGGGAAATCAGTGGGGGGGGGACATCTGTAACAAAAATAAATTAATTAAAAAAAAAGAAGTGGCAAAAGACACACACACACACTCGAAAAAGCATAAAATAAAAACATATTTTCCTATTAAATAGTTTCAAGTATGGAACTTCTCTGTAAACTTGAAAAATTCTGCAGTGTTACTTCCAAACTGTGCCCATTCTCCTGTGAGATAAAACAGAAAACAATTCCCGTCTTTTTCTTCCGGCTTCATTTTTTTCCAGAGGCCCCAGCTCCAAGTCTCAGAACAGACTTGTAAATAGGACAGGGTTGATCACGGTTAAGCGTTGGGGTCTTGTATCAAACTTTCTGGGTTTGAAAACACAGTCACTTGTGTGTTAAATAACTAAAACTAACTCTCTATTTCCCATTCTGAACATGGCAAAAACAATAATTCCTGCCTCTTGGGGTTTGGGTGAACATTAAATGAAGTCATCTGTGTGAGTACCTGGTAATGCCACACACCCAACAAACGTTAGCTCCTCTTACTAAATACCTCTAGTTCAGCCACTGGTGAATAACATTGTTTTTTTGTTTTTGTTTTTTTGGGTTTTTTTTTTGAAAAAACTGCATTCTGGGGTTTAGTAACCTGTAGATGAGGTTCTGAGCAAGTTGAAGATGACTTCAGAAAGAAGAGGTGTTGGTCAAAATGAATGGCATGCTATAATTTGCTTAACCAATGTAAACTAAACCGAAGGTGGGCATTCTAGGTGAGATCGTTGAAAAGTAATAAACATTGCCAAGAAGCATGCTCTGTCTCTTTCCATTCCACCTACGTGGAGTGTCTTCTACAAGCAAAATTCAGCTAATTTGAAGACAATCAGAAAGCTGTTTGAATATAAATTCGCTCTCTTGCTAAAGGGGCAAAAAGTCCGCCATAGAAAAGAAGAGTCGTGGTTTCCTTGTGAAGGGTAAGGAAGAGGAAAGGATGATCCACCTCGAAGGTTTCAGGATTTTTTACTTTGCTTGTTTGGTTGGGAAGGGCTCGCTGTGAAGCCCCTTCAGGAGCCGCTAGCAGGACCTCGTGGATTATCTTGGAGACCTTGAGGCTTCGTCCTGCAGTTATGCCAGACAAGTCAGCCCTTGAGTGGTCAAAGACATCAGTCCTTCCCACAGCTGCCAGTGTGGGAGCCAACTCTTCATGGCACCCATCAGGTTGGGCCAGGGGCAGAACCACAGCGTGTCTTCCCAGTTGGCTGAGCCCATCCAGCTTTTTAGTTTCTCATGGTGAGTTCCTTGGTAGCCTATGGGAGAGAAAGCAAGAGGCAGCATATAAATAGATTTTATTTAGAAAATGAAATTATACTAAAACGTGAAGCATCCCAAGGGTTGGCTGTGAGGTTATGGATAGGTAAGGCTACTTAGCGCTGTCATTTTGGGAAGCAGGTTCTATCAAAGTAGGGAAAACTCAGCCACGGGTGAGAATTGCAGTCGGAGCAGGTAACCCTGGACTAGATGCCTTTTCATCTATGAAACAGAGCAGGCAGGGCATTTAGACCTGGGCACACCATTCAAGAGCCACTCAGAAAACTATAGATCATCATAGGGAGTTTCTACTTTTCCTCCTCCTATGATTCCTCTATAAATTGCTCAATTTACATATGATAACTGTACAATTTATATAAATGCCCACCCTTTTTTATTGGTCACATTAAAAGATATCTTTGGAACCTGACATCCTCCAATTCTGACAACATAAATGATATTCTAGACTGACCAATATAACAGTCTACCTCAACTCAACTCAAAATTCTCAGGTGTCCATAGAGACTGAATCTATATCAAAGTAAGTAACATATAAAACAACAATGACCAACCAGGAAGACCAGAAGAAGTGTGTGGTTGTGTTTTAAAAGTTAGAAACTTTTACAAGTGCAAGCAACACATTCTAGTGAGTGGGTGTTCTTTATTTAGGGGTTCTGTTTATTCTTTAAGTGGACATTCACTGCATGAAGTAGTGTGTGAGAGGTTATTTTTTGTTGTTGAAAGTATTACAGATGTCCCCCTTTTGTCCTCATTGACCCCCTTCTTCCCACTCCCACCCCCCTCCTGCCTTCCCTAGCCTAATGTCCATGTCAATTGGTTGTACATGTATGCGTATCAGTTCTTTGGTTTATCTCTTCCCATCCCTTCCATCTTCTGAAGTTTGTCATTCTGTTCCCTACTTCCATGGTTCTGGATCTCTTTTGGTGAACAGCTTATTTTGTTCATTATGTTCCACAAATAAATAAGATAATGTGGTAATTGTCTTTCTCTGACTGGCTTAGCATAATACTCTCCAGGTCCCTCCATGTCATCTCAAAGGGTAAGAGATCTTTCTTTCTTACAGCTGCATAGTATTCCATTGTGTACATGTACCACAGCTTTTTTATCCACTCATCTATTGATGGGCACTTGGGCTGTTTCCAGGTAAGAGGCTATTTTTAATTCTCCATTCTTCTGCATGTGTAATCCTCAAGCTCAGAGCCTTCTCTTGTGGCTGTGGCTACAAAGGCTCCCTGGTTTACCTGTCCCAGGCCAAAGTCCTCACTGGGCAGGAGGATGCCCATACTCAGTTGATCTTCAGCATCAGGTACCTCAAGGACCCGGGCCCCAGGCTCCTTTATGAAACTCCGTCTCAAGGGTTCTTGCTGCCTCATCACCAGCACAGCTTTGCTCTGGGACTCTAAATGTAAAAACAGAGAAACAGCAAAGCTAATGCCTTCTTAATTTTCCATTTAAGACAGGAAATTTACATTTATATTCATCCTCCAAAAGTGCCCACATTGAGTGATCAAAACAAAAGCCATTCATCTTTCCACAGAATTATATGCGATCATTATTGTGATGATTTAAAGGTGAGGGATCCTAAAACAAAGAAGCTATTGAAGTACAAAGGATATTCTGTTTTTATTCAACTGTCCTTTTTTGATGCCTACAAGCAGTTAATCCACTTCAAAGAGCTGAGAAATATGCACCATAAGATCTTATCAGGATAACCATTTTTTAAAGTCAAATAGGGCCTTTCAAGAATATAATTTAGGAATCTCTCCAATTCAAGTAAAATCTGACCAGTCTGCCCCATTGAGTTGCAGATTACAAAATAGTTACAAATAAGCCAAGAATGCAACAAAGTGCTGAGCTCTACATAATGAGGGCATTTAAGGAAATTTAGTTATGACCATAACCGTATTTTATGTTTCTCTCTTTGAAATGCCAGCTAACTGGTTAAAGATACCTGTATTGTGTATGTCAACCAAGTAGACCAGATTTTACTGCAAAATTAAAGATTCTGTTTTATTAACTGTTTTCTCTAGGAAATCTGTCTGCTTTGGGGTATGTTTACCCCTTCAAGTATCTCTATGAATCCTGCTAAAGTCTTTTATTCCATTTGCCTTATACTGTAGACCTCCAAACTGAGCTAATCTTTGAAAGAACCTAAAGAAGCTACTTAAAAATACATATACTCAAGCACTTCTTGCAATCAGAATCTTTAAGAATGTGGCCCTGGAATCTTAAATTAAGAAGAAAAAAAAACAGCTATAAAAATATATAATTGCATTATATATGTTTTATGACCTCCATATCTGATGGCAATATTCTTTACAAAGATAGTTCTAGATACTTCCACATGTGACTAATGTGTTTGGCTAGAGTGTTACATTTTTCCTTAAAGTCATTCACTATTTCTTTTATAGGAAAAATATTTATTCACATGTATAAACTCTATTGTTACTGTTGACTATAACAAATTTTAAATTGACCAATTATTTCAAGCATATGTTGGTAATACATTTGATAGAGTGAATACACTTGATAGCTTAGGGACTTAATTATAATTTACAGGTCATCCTTTCACATTGAATAGCATGTTTTGTTTCCATTGCAGCCTGATGCGTAGCACACTTGGGAGCACTAAGGAAAGAAGTTGAAAGACTGCGGGTGGTAGGGCAGCATGCCTGGAACCTTTTATTTTAACTGTGAATCTTGTGCACCAATTTTGATATACTTCTTGAGATCATACCCATTTTACAAATGACTTGCCTGTTGTTGTTTTTTCTGAATATATACATATATTTTAATTCTCACTTGAGGATATTTTTTCCATTGGTTTGCAAAGAGAATGGTGCGGAAGGAAGGAGGTGGGGGAGAGAGAGAGAGAAACATGTATGTGAGAGAGACACACCGACTGGTTTCCCCCTACACATGCCCCACCCAGGGCTGAGTATTGAACCTGCGAGCCAGGTGTAGCTCTCGACCCAGAATCCAACCTGTGACCATTCAGTCCTTGGGCTGATGCTCTAGCCACTGAGCCACACTGGCCAAGACTGAATCTTTTTTTTTTTATTTAACTTTTTTTTCAATTAGTTTCAGGACCTGCCTCTTCATTCCAGAAGTGTCTATTAGTTCTCCCCATCACCAGACTTCATTTCCAGTGTGCAGTAAGTAAATTGCCTCATAATGGTCTAAGCTTCCCCCAAAGCCTAACCCTACTATAAGGCCTTTTAAGATCTATATTTTACATCAGCTTTTAATTTCACAGTTTTGGTGTTAAAAAATAGCATGCCTACTTCCAAAATAGGTAAAAGTACTATGAAGAAGATTTTTTTTAGGTTCAATAAAATTTATTAAATGTATTATAAATCTAAACCTGTGCTTTATTGAGTATGTAACTAGGATAATCACTTGGAAATTAATATACCTAACTAAGGCCAGAAATAATTTAACATATTTTAAGGGGCAAAAACTTTCAGGAGCACCTTTAAGAGAAAAACAAATTAAATTATGAGACTACCTCGTCCATCCTGAAAGGCGTAGTTTGGGTTTGGCCTTTCTCAGAAGGAGATGGTGCTGACAGCACCAACTGGTCAGAAGACAGGAGGCTGATGGTGGCAGGAGGTCCCTGATGTCACCTTTAGGAAGAAAAACAGTAAGATCACCCTAGTCAGCCATGAAATCTGAGTTGTTTTCACTAGTTTTGCTTTGATTGACATACGTGATTGCCATTCAATATCTTCAGTTTCACTGAATAGATTTTTTAGCAAATATGTGAAGTATTCATAATTATTGAATAAATGAAAAATGTGGACTGTAGAAGAAAGCAAGTGAGTGTATTGCCCATCTGCCCACTTTATGGCTCCACTCAAGATTGTTGATGAGGTTTGCTTGTCTTACTCTATTAATAAATACTATGTTTCTCTACCTCTGGTAAAATTCTTACATGAATCATTATTTGAATTCCAGATAAAACAAAAATGTATGGGACAGGACAATGAAAATCTCCAGAGGGAAGCTTACATATTTTCTTACACGCACATTTACATGTACAGTCCTAGAGTGAGGAGGACCTTCTTCAACGGTCTGGAAACCTAGAAGCTATAGAGAAAAAAATAGTCATGTTTGACTATAAAAGTTTTAAATGTACTTGGTAAAAATAAGAACTTAAAGGTAATTTTAAAATAACAGATTTATAAACACAGTTGCCAAGACATACAATAATGGTAATATCTATCCTATGCCATAAGCTCTGATAAATGAGCAAAAAGGGGATTAAACAACACATTAGAAATATGAACAGAGGAATGACCAGGTAATGCACAGAGGACTAACAACAAATTTATAACAGTTGCCCAAAAGGGTGTTTATAAGGGTGTTGCTTACAAATTTATACATTTATTAAACATATTTATTTCAGTTATGTTAATACTGCCAAAACATTTTAATGAATAATAATCCATGTACCATACATTTTTATGCTGCTATTGTTAAATAATGAATTAGTTGTCAGCCAAGTTGATATAATGAGATGTCTATGAGTGAGAAATTGCCTGATTTTATCCACATCATCTGCCTGAAAGCAATGTATCCGAAGCTCAAATTCAGGATTTACCTCTGACCCATGTGTGACTTTGATCAGGTCATTTCAACTTTCCAGGCCTTAGGTAAATCATCTGTGTGATGAGGATAATAATAGTATCTAACTCGTAATCTTTGCGGGGGATTAAATGAGATACTAGACATAAAATATTTAGAACAGTGTGTGCTATAGATTAAGTATAATGTAAGTATTTACTGCTAGCACAATTTAACAGATAAGGAGTCTGAAAAGTTAGGTATCCTGTTGAAGTTAACAAACCTGATGAATATACAAAACAATTAAGTTACCCAGGTAAGAGGTTTATAGATATAACACATTAACTATTAAGGTTTGACCTTCCTGTGACATTTCTCCCGGCACCACCCTCTGCTGTACCCAGTGAATACCTGAGTGGGGGTTTTGCAGATCACCACTGTTATCTGGTGATGGTTTTCTACTAAAATCAAGCAAAACAGATCACTGGGAAAGTTGGCAGAAGAAAATTTCTCTGCTTTTTATTCCTCTTCACTTCTCAAGACTAAAATTAATAAGATGTCATGGGTTTTCATTTTATGATATGTAAAAGAAAGTCTTTAAATCTTCAACAACTGGCGCTGAATATCCATATGGAAGAAATAAAGAACCTCCACCCTTATTTCACATCCTACATGTAAGTCAATTTGAGACAGATCACAAACCTTCAGGTAAACACTAAAACAATAAATCTACTAAAAAAGAACATCCTTGTCACCTTAGGATAAGCAGAACTTTCATACAGAATATTCAGAAAGTGCAAGATGTAAGAGAAAAATACTGATAAATTGGACTTTATTAAAATTGAAAACTTCTGTTCATCAGAAATACAGTTAAGAAAATATACAAGACTTGGACTAGAAAAAAAATATTAGCAATATATGTATCTGACAAAATATTTATATTCAGAATAATTAAATAATTCCTGCAGCTGAATAATAAAAGGTAAAAAATTAAAAATGGGCAAATAACTTGAACAGATTTTCTTAATAAAGATACATAAGGGCCAATAGACATATTTAAAAAGATACTCAGTATTATTAGTCATCATAGAAATGTGAAGTAAAACTACAATGAGATACTACTACACACCTACTAAAGAGGTTAATTAAAAAATATTTAAAACACCAAAAACTGGAGAATATTTGGAGTAACTGGAACTTTTATAGTGATGAGACTGTAAAGTGGTTCAATCACTTTGGAAAATTATTTGGAGGTTTCCTTAAAAAGTAAATATCCCTTAGTCTAAGACCTAGCAATTCCACTAAGTACTAATCCAAGCGAAATGAGAAAATATGCACACAAAAAGCCTTTTACAAGAATTTCCATAGCAACATTACTCATAATAGCCCCAAACTAGAAATAACCCAGATGTCCATCAACAAGAAAACGAATAAACACTGGTATATTCACACAGTGAAATACTACTTAGCAAAAAAAGTCATGAACCACTGCTACATCCAAAAATATGCATGGATCTCAAAAAGAATATGCTGAGTGTAAAAAACAGAACACAGAAAAGTGCATGATGTATTATTCCATCTATCTGGAATCTTAAAATAAGCAAAGCTAAGCTCTGATGATACAATCAGATCAGTGGTCGCTGGGTATGGGCACAGAAAAGCTTTTCAGGGTGATGGAAATGTTCTGTGTCTTGATATACATTTGTCAAAACTGTCCAGATAGCCTTTTGAAGACCCAAGCATTACGCTGAATGTAACTTATGCCTAAAATAAGAAGGTGAAGAAGAAGAAAAAGCCCTAGCCCTCTTACCTTTGGTTTTATTTTCAATCCATGAGTTCATCTGCATTCTGGCTTTTTCTAAATTATTTTTGAAATCCAAATTTTCAGGTTTCAGCTTCTATAATTGTTCAATACATTCTAAATAGTTCTATAAAGTGAGCATTGGAAAAGGAGAGGCATAGCAAATAAATTATCACTGTAATCGATTTAGACCATACATGGTAGGAATTATACATAAATAGAGGCAAAAATATAGAAAATGCTATTGTGTAGAACTAGGCCCAATTAATAAAAATATTCACACTTGTCTTGAACAAATTACTACAGGATGCTATTTCAATGATAAGAACATTTCTCTTTCTTTTCAGCCTCTGAAATTGAACCTTACATCTATAAATGCATAATTAGGATAATCAGACTGAAAATAATTAGTGTCCTCAGCCTGGAGTTCCAAGATACCAATTCCTCTTTTATTACCAATATCAACACATTTTCAGTGTTGTTTTTACTGTTTTTAATCAGACACTAGAAAAAAATGTGCGCTTTTTATGTTTCAGCTGGGCTCACCTGAAACACGATTTAAAATGTTACAAATTAACATCTGAAAACTAGAATCCTAAGTTCTTCCATATTTTTCTATATGAAGTAAAATGCAGATGCAAAGTATATTGTGTATACTGTATGTAGCAATTGTTACAAAAAGATGCTCGATCTTTTTTTATTTCTGTACAGTTTGGATAGCACAAACAATGCTAAAATAGATTGAACAAAGACAGAAAGGAAAGATTTTACCTTACTTATGGAAACGTGTTTATTTTAACTCACCAGGAGGAATGGACGGGCTACTTCTGCAAACAGTCCACTTGCCATGTGGACTGGACTGTGGCAGGGCTGATTGACTTCAGAGAGGAGCGCTCGAGCGTGTACATGGATTTTGTTCACACTGTATTTTGTTCACACTAAGAAAGAGTTAGAAAATATGTACTTGAAAACGAGGGCCACAATTCCCCCACTCAAGTATCAACTGAGGTCAGACAAGAGGCTCTCGGGTTTGCATCAGGACATGCTATTTCAGAAAACAAACAAATACAGATTGAAAGTCTACTCATTCTCCATTTGGACATACTGAAATGTTTGCCTTTCACCAAACTTTTGTCCAGCAATCTGCTCATACATGGAGAACCGTAACAATGTATCATCGTCACCTCACAGGTGTGAGGGGCCGCTTGGCATTGTCCGCGCCCTGGTCAGAGTTTGACCTGTCCCCTCCACCAGGTAGCCCAGAGCACACAAAGCACACAATCAATACTGACATATTAATTTTAGTCTAGTTGGCATCAGGAAAAAAAATGTGCTGCTATGTTTGATAATAAATAAGAATTCGGGGCAATAAAGTTTGGTCTTAGTATCCCCAACACAGATAATAATGGGAAGATCACATCTAGGAAGCTACAGACCACCTTAGACAAATGAAAGTCTGTATTGCATACTTTTACTTGAAATGATCAATATGGAAAGTAGTTTACAATGCAACTCATAAAGATAAGCCATCTTTAATTACATTTAAACAAAAATAACGTATGCATGTGTTCAGAGCACTCACTGGTGTCCAGCCATTGTTCTAAGCACTGCTGCTGAGGATAGCTCCTAGGGTTCCATGGTGCAGTCTCTTGGAGAATACTCTCCCGTCTGCACTTCTTGCTCAGGGGAGGAATAGCCCATTCTCTTAAAGACTAATCGTCTCTACCTCGGCTGTTTGACGATTTCCATTTCGTCACCTCTTATTTCCAAATCTCAACATGATTCATTATTTTCAAACAGTATATGCAGTTTGACTGTGTGTATCTATATTCTGGACTCGAAGGACATCTCGGACACACATGCTGTTGTATTGCCTTCGACCTTTTGTCTCCGTGGACTAAGGTGGACTGCCGAAAGGGAAGTAAAAGAGGAAGTAAGAACTGTCTGTACCTTTGTGCGGAAGAATCTGCAGTTCTTGTTCATTCGCTCAAGTGCAGCACCTTCAAAGGGAAACAAGGACTGTTTTCCAAGGCTATGCAAATGCTATTCCCCAGAGCAGGTGGTGTCGTAGCAAATCACTTTCTTGCTATAAATGTTAAGCTCTTACATTTTTAGGAACTTCATATTATTCACCCCAGCCTTCTCCTATCAGTTTCTTAGTTACTCTCCTCATTTAAAAAAAAAAAAAAAAAAGACATTACTTCAAAGAGGAAAGGTAAATTCGAAAACCAAAGCCTTTCATGGGCTCTCAGGCGGAAGACTGAGCATGAGAGTGTTGGAGATGGGTTGTAGGCACTTATACATACGTGTAGTTATCTTTTCACGCCTGTGATAGAAGGCAAGACAAAGGTTTAAGAAACTGTTTTAAAATCACTCCAGGCTTACTCATCTACACCGTCACTTAATTTTGTTCGTCCCTACGTTAAAGAACTCCATATTTATTTGTGGGATAAAGAGTGAATGATTGTGTGTGTAAATGAATGGATCTTAACATCATTTGCAGGCAGTTACTCCTAGCGATTATTCATTGAGCATACACAGATAATGGTTGGGTTCATATAATAGGTAATTATTTTCAAGTTCTTTTCATAAATGTTATTTGATCATAAGCTCACAATATCTCTTTGAGATTTCAATCACTTATATCATTGTCTCCACTGAGAAGCAATGTTTCCTTTGACTTAATGAGGTATAATCATGTGTCCGATACCACTAAGTATATTATTCTATGTTCCAGAGAATCTGCATGAGCGTAACTCTCTGGTGTTGCTTTGGTTGTCCTTGTCACCATCACCACTCTCGTCATCAACAGAAAGCACAATTGTCAAACCTGGAACCCTGAGCCTTTGGCTCAGTCCCAGAATGTTGTAGGAGAAAATCATTAAGGGGATAAAAATATAAGAGAGTTATTTTTTCCATTTTGTATGGGAATCAATGAGGGAAACATTTGAGCTTATTGGTTCTCTTGACTATTGGATGAAACAGAAAAAGTATTTCCACACCAGACTCTCTCTACCTGGCTGGGTCCTTAACACAGTCAGCCACAAGGCTCTCCGGTCGCAAACCCAGAAGCAATCACAGGCAGACATGGAGCCAGAGTCTGACTCCAGATTTTCAAATTCATTTCCAATTTAAACCCTGACTGGGGAGAAGCTTTGTTCCACTAGTTCATCATTCTCTCTATAATAAGCAGGAGATAGTTAAGGCATGTTGAAAGATGCCTACTAAGAAATATTTCTTCTAGTCACCCAACAGTATTGGTTGAGTTAAAGTACTGGTGATGTCCTTAGAATTGTGATAGTACAGATTGTAAATCCTTGCAATTCTTTGCCCAGGAAGGCCTTGGGAACCTAAGGGTGCATATGGTGGAGGTGGAGGTGGAGACTCCCAGTTTTCCCATGAGTCAGATTGGCCTCTAAGTGCCTCTCCCTATTTATTCTCTGCTGTGTCCACTCACCCCCTGCTCATCAGAACAGAGCTTTGGGAAACCTTACCTTTTGCACTCATTTCTGAAAGAGCCTATTTGCTAGGTAACCTTAAATGAAGGTGGACATTCTCTGGTGTTTACACAGTTGTCTATCTATGAAATCCCCATAACAAGAGGGGTTTGAAACCATCACTGATTGTCTTCCAGACATGGCTGCAAGTATGTTTGTGACATACCTTTTCCATCTGAGATTCACTGTCACCTCCGGCCCCAAAGAGCACCACAGCCAGGGTGGACAGGAGACTCGAGGGAGAGAAGACATTGTCAATCGTGTGATCAGAGCTCATCTCTTTAAGGACATCAAAGCAGAACTGTGCATTTGCTGCACTGAATGAGCCTATTCTTTTAACTGGATTCTGGAATGCAAAGGCAATCAACAACAACAAAAACATAGGTCAAAGTACCATCACTTACTCGTTTATTTCAAATTAGGAAAAGAGTTACTTCTGTTTTGTGAAATCTAAAATGTTCAAAATGAAACTAGCTCAGGTTAATTCACTGGGTTAGGTAATAACAAAAAGTACAAGGTTGTAATTTTAATCCCAACAGACACATGACCTATCTGAATCTTTCAAAAATACACAAAGGAACTGACTGGGTAAGGAAGTAAGGACACACCAGCCAAAGCCCATTCTCACCATTGCAAAGCATCTGAAAGAACACATCTCACCACCCCCGCCACACACACACACACACACACACACACACAGATTGGTGGTGCCATCAACATATACAATAGAGAGCATTATTTTATATATATTTTAAGAGGGGAAGAAATATAACTAAGAATATTATAATCCTACAGAATTTTTATCCCACTTTCTTCTATGAAACCATCCTCGAATATTTATTACGAAAAGACAGAGCTTCCTGTTCTGGGGTCTGTGGAGCTGGCAGAACTCACCTTGGCGTGGTGCCTTCAGGTGGCTGCTCACAATCACTCAGGGCTCAGGATCCTCTCCGAAGGAGCAAGTCCAAAATCACAGGATGTTCAAGGAAGAAGGACAATCTGTCATTTCTTCCTTCTTTCAGGCACTAACGCCTCCCTGGCCCTGGGCACTGTCTGAAAGAATGCGGTTAGAGAATAACAGGGAAACCTCAGCATTTCTGCTTCAACCTCCTGCTTGGTGCCCTCAGGTCGTGGGACACCTGGTACTATAACATCACTTCCGCACCTCCCTTTCCCTCAGGGAGCTATTTTGAAGAGCCACCTGGAGTTGATGACCTCTAGAGATTCATGCTCGGCCAAGGAGGAGGGAAGACCCTAAGGTACAAAATTTAAGGAAACTCTCACTTTAAAGTGTTGACTCTGAGCATCTGCAACCAGGGCCCTGGGAGCAAGCACCTCCTTAAGAATGAGCCACCCACTAAGCAAAATTTAAGGAGGCACTTGTGCTCAGAGTCATACAAACAAACACTGGCTAACACCTAAAAATTAGTGCCTCCTTAAACTTTGCCCCCTAGGAGCCTTGCTCGCCCCACTTTACTCCTGACCCTGCTTGGATACCTGGTCAGGTTTGGGATACAGGAGGCTGCAGGTCTGTATTTGGTGGCTACATTGCTATCTTATATTGCCCTACAGATACCTTATGGGGCTTCCATCAAGTTATTGGAATTAGAGTGAAATTATCTGCTGGTGGTGCAGATGGAGTATCTCCATCTTGGGAAAGTTAAAAACTCTTAGGAAAATGCCTTGCTGGTCCTGATGTTCTAAAAGGGGAAAGAGACTCTACATGAAAAGGTTCCCAACGGAGCATCTGATAAGGAAAACTGGAAGTTGCTAGGTTTGAGTGAGAATGCAAATAGAAAAGTCTTAATTCTTTTTTCTGATGACTTAACGTATAAATGGCCTGCCAGTATCCGGAGGCCCAGCTGCACTGTCTCAGGGCTGAGGGGGGTGGTTCCGGAAAGCAGCCTGAAGAATTTCTATGCAGAGAAGAGCAAGTTTAAATAGTTTGGCTGGAGGGGTGGTCGACGTTTTAGAAGGACCAGAAATGTTCCCACTTCCTGAAAGCGACCACTCTGTTCACATCAACATGGAAGTAAAATCCTCTAAGTAAAATCAGGGTATGTATGTTGCCTGATGTCATATAACTAGGAATGGAGTGGGCAAAAAATGGGGGTCAGATGGGGTTCAAGTTCACAAGAAAATAGAAATAAACGTACAGACCTGAACCTGTTTCTCAGAGTCCGTGAGGCACTGGACACATCGCGTTCTGCCCCTTGCTGCTCCCTGAAAACTCACGTGGTCATCCCACAGTTAGAAACCTTCCGCACTGGACCCACAGAGTCCAAACAACGTATTTGTTCTGCTGAAAGGCAATGAGTTAAAATGGCCCATCATGGGTCTTTATAACAGAACATGTTAAATTAGAAAAACTTCAGTTTAAACATGAACTTTGCCTTTCGCCGTACATGCGAGTAACTTGCTTGACTTCTCTGAACTTGGTTTTAAAATAAGGATAACAGAAGATACCCGATAAGGGTTCTGCGAGTGTTAAATGTGCTAATGAAAAGAAAGCCTCTAAATTAAAAAAAAAATCATTCAATTATGTTATTTTCCTCCCTTTTTCTAGTGACTGTGCATTGAACTCAAAGAAGAGTCACAGACTGGATAAGAAGATGATCAGGCCCCCAAATTAATTTTACAAATCGGGGAACTGAAGTCCCTAAGGACAGAGTCTGATCGTATGTTATGCTTGAATGGCAATCGGTGGGAATGCAGTTAATCAGAAAAAACAGTTTCTCCCAACAACACATCCCCTGCATACCGATAAATCCACTCCCTGCAAAGGTCTCTGAAGGAGAAATAGTCATTGCGGGTGTGGCAGGTTAGTGGCCAAGTTATTTTGGTCAAGGGCTTCTCAGCATCTTTCAGATCATGTCACATTCACCCACTCATGCCATGTTCACGGATTCCACAATATTTGTTGAAAGTCAAGTACCTTCCAGGTCTAGCACGAAGCGCCACAGAGCTACGCTGTAGCCCTGCTGGGGAGTTCAGCATGGTCTACTGATTCTCAATTTATTTTCATCTGTTTTGTAAAGCCACCTGTGACTTATTATAAATATTCACACATGCTAATTCTTTCCCCTTATGAATTTAAGTCCTTCTCTTTAAAATTAGCTCATTGGCCTCTGTTAGTAGCTGTAAAATAACTTTGATATGTAATAAATTAACATTTAATGAAATCAGATTTATATTTGAAAAGCATTCTGTCTTTTTCACTGCTTGTTTGCTTGGCCTGGAGAAAAAATATTGCTGGTAGTCTCACAACTGGTCATAGAACAATCACACGGTGCAGTCATGTTGTCTTTCTTTATTCTGATAAATAGATAAAACATGTGTAAACTACACAGCATATGAAATAATATACTGTACATAACAACTGGCAACTGATCAAAGGTATTTAATATTTGAAAAAACTATGTACATATTAAGTGTCTATCAAGGAAAAGCCAAAAGATATTCATTCATTTGAGGTTATTCATGAAATATTTTGGTTGGCCCCCAAACCCAAATCCATATTTTTTTCACTTCTAGAGACTGATTTCACACCAATGTTAAAGTCAACTCTAATGTGTTTTAAGGTCAGCAAGAAAAACTTATCCCTCACACTCATTTCTAGCAGGTGGGCTTACTTCCTAGATCATTTACAATAAAACTAGAATATCTGGGATACCTATAGAGTTTCTGGAAAGATCCCTAGGACTGCTTCTACACTGTCATGACCAGTGGGGCTCATGCCCACAATTCCCAGATGCCAATCCCAGATCCATGTGCTAGTGGCTATGGGGCAGACTGGTAGAAGTGAGTGTGGGTAGAAAGACAATAAAATTATAAATGGGTGAGGGAGCTGGTGATAGAAATGCTAAGAGCAAGATCGGGATAATCAACCAGGTGTCTGAGAAGGGTCAAGTCACCAAAATCATCTGCCGACCAACGTTAGAAGAGAGTGAACTAGAGGGAACACTACATGCTTCCCGCTAAACCGTATCTATGCACGTGATTCCTTGATAGTGATGGGACTATGGTAACAGAAACCAACTGGACTGTCAAGGGCAAGAGACTTTGCCACTGAACAAGATGATGTCACCCTTGCTGATGACAAATAAGAATGGGTGATCAGCTCTGAACTCCGTAGACGCAGGGAGTCGCTTTTCTACGATGTCGTTTTCTGAGACGGCAGCTGCCTCTGTGCCGTCCTCGTTAACCTCGATGTGTGACTTGTGCACCATTCTCGACAAATACAGACGACCTCCTGAAGCCAGGCCAGAGAAATCAGCTCTGGATTCGTCGAAGATCCCTCCCAGCCCCAGGGCTTGTAAATAGCGTTTGAGTTCATAATTCTTCTCTATCTTGAACCGAGGGAGAAACACCTTCACGTACTGGCGCCTCATTTTTCTGGGGCTGGTCCATTTCATTAGATTCTCAAAGGTCAGCTGTTTTTCGATCTGCACGGATATTTAAAAGGCACTTTAAAATCACTCGGTTAAGAAACAAATTAAACAACAAACAAATTATGATTTTCCGTCAGTATCCTCGCCTGCATCCTATATGTATGCATAAGCATGTGAATGGGCCCTGGACAGTATGGAAATGGGAAATGATGAAAACAAGTAGTTCAAGCACTCTTTAAAAATCACATGTTTAGCCCTGGCTGGTTTGGCTCAGCGGTTAGAGCGTCGACCTGCGGTCAGGAGAGACCTGGGTTCGGTTCCCGCTAAGGGCATGTACCTCGGTTGCAGTTTGTCCCCGGCCCTGGTCGGTTGTGCGGGTGGCAGCCACTCGATGTGTTCCTTTCACATCGATGTTTCTCTCTCTCTCTGTTCCTCTCTCTCCCTCCCACTCTATCTGTACAAAAAATGGGAAAATGTCCTCGGATGAGGATAAAAAAAAAAAATCACGTTTACTTTGTTCTGCTATGACACGGTGTGACTTCATTGCATTCCAGGGAATTTCTGCCCTTTGCCCCCATACAGACACATTTAGCCAAAGTGGAACAATGGGCTGGTGAAGGAACTAGGGAGTCAGAGATCATCAGAGGGAGAAAGGAGCTCAGTAGCCATGTAGGTCAGTGTTGCCTGACCACTTCCTCATGATGAGAGACATAGAAAATGATGGGATACACCCATGGAACGAACCCCACAAGGAGCGGGGTTCCTGAGGCAAGGAGCAGGAGGCTCTGGCCTCAAGGCCGTGGGTGATCCGTATCTCCAGCACAGTCACGCACACTGTCAGGGAGGCATGGATCCAAAATAACTCCCCTACTCAACACAGGGGACAGCTGAAGGTCAAGAGAATGTTGGGAAATGTGCCCAAGGTGCCCAGCTGGGAAACGTTACATGGGTAGGAACTCGCGTCTGTCTCCAACACCACTGCCGCCCCCAATGATTCACATGTGAAGTTCACCAGCTCTGGGAACTGGTCTTAGACTACTCCAGACTCATCACTTCACACTTACAAGATTTTTCATGCGTATTGTTTCCAGATCTGATATGTGGGCATTTATTTGTTCTCAAGAATTCAAATTTATATAATCAAATGTAGTCTTAAATAAATTTTCTGTGTGTAAATTACCCAGTTCGAAGTTAATCTGTAATAACTTTTTATTTTGAGTTAAAATTTTTTCTCATTTAGCCCACTAACTTCATCATCATTACTTAGTCGTGTAGCATTATGTAGGTATGTAGGTTTATACTACTCTGACCCATACACTAGGGGAACCTATTACAGAAAAAAGACCACTCAGACAATAAGTAGAAGGACGAATCTACCTTTTGAGTTACCTACTGCTTGTTTTATCTAGGCTATTTTTCTATCATTGCAGATTATTTGAAGTTAAAATAGTTAATGTGTGCTAAAATGCCATTGGTATAAATATCATCAAGTGAATTATTTGTGTGCCCCTATTTTATGTTATCTCACTTTCCATTTAAAAATGCCAACTTTATGACATTTCACTTGCTGTTCATGCCAAACAAGATGACATCAATGAAGCACCTGGCACCTAGTAGGTGATCAATAATCGCCCTTCGATTGGAAGTGCAGAGAAAGGAGATGAAGTTTAGGCTTCTAGATTTCAGGCTGCAGTCTGAAGTGGCCAAATTCGCAAGGAGAAGAGGTTGAAATTCACAAGCAGAAAGGGTACAGGGATCTGAGATGCAGTGATGACGTCTGGCTGGCATGACCACCACCGTCTGCCCCTGGCACTGTGCTGGCCCGTTGGCTACCTGTCACAGTGCAGTCCCTAACCTCTGCTTTTCCTAGAGACACAGCAGCACAGACTGACATCATACATTTAAATTCTCAAAGGACTAGGACTTCAAAATGCCATCGTATCATTCCTGCCTGAAACTGCTTAGTCTATCAAAATTTCAATATACTTGAAAGACAGTTTTCATGGCCAAGGGCAAAGAAGATCGAAACCCATGCCCTGTTCCCTCCACAGCTGAGGTGTGAGGGTTTCCAATGTTACAACTATTTAAACGAAGTTATGCTAAGCTGAGGTAAGGCCACCTTGACACCTATAACAATGCCTGGCACATGGTAGGTACTCCTTGAATATTTGTCAAGTAAATGAATAAGTGGGTAAGTCTCTAATATTCCAACAACCTGAAATCTTAAAGTTGTTGGGTGAATGCACAATTAACAGTCTCCTAAAAGTTGTCCCCAACAGGGAAGGTGACAGTGGTAACTTACTTGGGAGAGGTTTCCACTCTTAGGCAGCATTATGTACATGCTTATACCTCCATGATATCTGAGTTCAAGAACTTGCATATACGGGTCCCGAATGACAGACAAGTTGAATATCCGTTCTTGATACATCATGGAGACAGCTTTCCCAGGACACTGGAAGTCAAGTCACAAACACCTTTTAATGAGCCCACTTTGTTTCACTTACTGACCAGGTACAAAAGGAAGAACTTTTTTTTTTTTTCAGTATATCCTGTAGGTTTTTCCTCACACGTTACCAGTAGTGATTGCCTGGGTGCACATCTTAGTGGTGAAAACACAGACTTTAACTGCCTGAGTTTATGTACTTACTTATTTTCTTTATTGATTTTAGAGAGAGAGGAAGGGGGAGAAAGAGAGAGATAGAAACATCGATGAGAGAGAACATCAACTGGCCACCTCCTGCATGCCCCCCACTGGGGATCAGGTCCACAACCTGGGGATGTGCCCTGATTGGGAATTGAACCGGCGACCTCTTGGTGGAGGGGTCGATGCTCAACCACTGAGCCACATGGGCCGGGCATAACTGCCTGAGTTTAAAACTCCCCAGCTGTGCCCTGGCCAATTTGGTTCAGAGGCTGGAGCATCGGCCCTCGGACCATGTGGGTTCAATTCCAGTCAAGGGCATGTACCTTGGTTGTAGTTTGGTTCCCGGTCCAGGTCAGGGTAATGCCGGAGGTAACCAGTCAATGTGTCTCTCTCACATCAATGTCTCTGCCCCCCTCTCTCTCTCTCTCTCCCTCACACTCTGTTTGAAGATAAATGAAAAAATGTCCTCAAGTGAGAATTTTTTTTAAAAGATTTTTTTAAAAACTCCCCAGCTGTGTGATCTTAGGCAAGTTACTTCACCTCTCTGTGTCTCCATTCCCTCGTCTATATAATGAGGGTAATGATGGTCTCTACTGCATGGGATTATTGTAAGCATTATGAGAGTTAATATATCTAGCATTTGGAACATTGCCTTGCACTTAGTGTTTTATCTGAAAATGTCTATATAAGTAATAAATAATTATTAAACAGCATTACAATTAAAATGAATGCTATCGGCTTTTTCTCTTGTCAGAAATAAAATACAGACAGTACTATCAAAATCACACAATTTAAGAATGAGGCCTCGTAAAAGATGTTTTTTTAATTTCTGCAAAATATATGACATCGCTCCGATTGACTCGGGGGAAACACAGTAGCTCTAACCTTGAGGAATATCATCTGCAGACATGGAAATGCTGGAGAGGTGCAAAAAGCCATCCTTTTCCTAAAAGATACTGTGGTTCTGCAAACATGTCATCTTGCTGTCATATCTCCCTTTGGTACAGAAAGTTCTACGGGAGGAGGAGAATTGTTTACGCTAAGACTAAAGGTCCTTCTGGCTCTAGAAAGGGTATCCTTTTAGACTGAGAGTCTGAAGCTCAGAAAGAACACGCCTAGGGCAGTGCAGGGGGAGGCACCGCCCGGCGAGCCAGGTCAGCCGATCTGAGCCCGACACACATGGGGGCTGGCCTGCCACAGCACTGCCTGTCCTCACCAGGGCAAGGATCAACAGCTGAACTAGGCTGGAGAAAGACTAGAACAAGACTTCTTAGCAAAGAGGTCATGTCCCCAAAACTGACACCAGTGTTATAGATTCCGTAGTCTTTTAGAAGCTATCTATTATAACTATATTGCAAGGGATATCAAATAGGTAGGAAGATCATTTTAAACAGTTGTTACCTATTGACACTTATTTAAGTGAACACGCCTGTAGGCGCAAAAGCCAAAACCCACGAACAGTGTAGGGGACAGGCATGCCGCATCTTCGCTGGAGGAAACGAACCAGCAAACGCAGTCTACGCGGGAGGTGTGAAGGAGAGTGGGGACCAAAATCACACTTCCAAGCTCCGTTAACAACGCCAGCTCCATCCCTAAAATTCTCGGCTACCTAGCAATTACGCAGTTAATGTCTCTACAGACAGAGCCGCATTTTTATTAGGATTTATTGCACTATTACTTTCCACATACAAATTTCCAAACATGTCTATGCCCCTCTCTTTGTTCTCACGAAGACACCTGCATTGGAAACTTTTGGAAACTTGCCCTCGAGGCTGTCCTTAGGACCCGGTAGTCAGGGACACCCTGCGGGGCTGGCTGTACCCCAAAGTGCAGGACTCAAAGGGCAGTCACCGCAATCAGCCTGAGGGTCATCCTGGTCCCTGTAAACTCTGCACTGCCTCCTCCCTCCTCCCAATGCCTCCCAGCACCTTCCTGCTGCCACACTGCAGGTGCAGCCTGCCTCGGTGTCCTTATTCCCAGTCCCCCCTCATCCAGTGACCCCATTGCTACCGGCATTCAGCACTGTGTCCTACAGCTCTGATGTGGGGAAACGCAGAAAGAACCTTTCAATGGGCTTTTCCACTTGAAAAACAAAACTAAGCTTAAAAGTTAAATCTGAACTTCTCTACCTCAACATAATCGACTGAGTGGTTGAAAGGGAGATAGGAGGTGAATTATGGAATCGCTTGATTTCCCTTGCGACCAGGTCTGCAGTGGTTACGTTAACTAGCCTGAAACCAGGCAGCTTCCAGGAGGCGAGGCGAGGATCCCGCTGCAGTTTTGCTGACTCCAAGGCCTTTGATGTTTCTACGATAGTAAGATTATCACGTGCAAATTGGTAAAAAAAAAAAAAAAAAAAAAAAGCAACAAACACAAAAATATCTATTTTGTGAAGGTTGTTTTAAATAAAAGAGAATTCAATGAAGAAACGGATATAATCGATATTCGGAAATGCATAACTTTATTAAACATAATTTTATGTTTTGGCAAAAGAAACACATATTTGCCTTGACTGCGGAAAAATCATTGATATTAAATGACTTTAACTGTGCACCCTGCAGTTAGAATTACGAAAAATAAAACCTACACTTTTGTCATATTTTCTTCTTCTAGGCCCCCTACTGGGATATCGTCAAATAAATTCATATGTTATTTCTTTTCTCCATTTCAAATATATTTGGGGGAATATCAACTTACAGGACATCTCCAGTTGAATTCCATAACCGGCATTAGCAGGAAAATAGAAACTTCATTTTCTAAACGCCTGACCATACAATATCGTGAATGCAACAGGAAAACGAGTCTAGAACTGCTGAACCCAGTATTTGTAACTATCGCGATCGCAGCAAAGAAACACTGTTGGCGAAAAGCCTCCAAGAGTCAGTGGATCTCCATACCTTGGGGGATTTGAAGCGGCAGCTCACCGTGTCCTGCTTGGTGAAGGCCGACTCCCACCTGCCCTTGAAGTACACGGCGCTCACCAGCACCATGACGGCGGAGGAGCTGATGCTCCCTTCGTCTATGATGCTCTTGATCTTGCCTTTTAAGAAATAAATTGGGGGGGGAAAGGTTAATTTTTAATGTACATTTTTTTAAATTTTTAGATGAGATAAGCATATTTGTCTTAGCCCATAATTATAACAATAATCTATGAGCAATTACTCTGTTCAGCACTTTTTAAATGTTTTCTGTGCAATATTTGGTTTAATCCTCCCAGGATCCCCATGAAGTAGGCACTATAATTTCAAGAGCAGAGAGAAGTCAAGTAATTTGTATAAAGTCTCACGACAAGAAACCCCGGCAAGAGGATTCCGACCCAGGAGGAGAATTCCCAGATCCCCTCCCTGCTGCAGGCACCCAGCTGCCTTTGTGTCATTGATGAGGCCACAGCACGCCCAGGATAACGTAAGCCATTCCGCTGAAAGAGCTCTTCTGCATTAATGAGATGTTTGCTAAATGCTTTGCGCTATTCTGATACTTGAATCACTGCAGTGAGAGACACACCTCGCCATCTCTGGGCTCACACTCCAGTCCAGGGGAGGCGACAACCAAAGGCAGGTGTAGCACGCCCGTGTCACAGCGCTCAGTGAGCTGTGGGGTCACAGGCTACAGGCACCCCTCTCTGGCCGGCCGGCCTGCTGAGCTGAGCGCAAGGTGTGGGGCAAGGAGACCCGCCACAGAGCTGGGAGTGTTCGTTCGAGGGCGTGGAAGCCTGGAAGAGCAAAGTGAATCTGGGGAAACCCAACTCATTCCGATGCTACGGGAAGAGTAAAGCTGGAGAAGTTGAGGCAGGGGTCACATAGTGAAGGGCCTTCACCGTCTGCAAAGAGTTTTGGATTCTCCTGAAGGCAGTGGAGAATTATTCATGGTTCATTGGAAGACAAGGAAGGGCACGGTCATGACGGATCAGATTTGTCTTTCAAAAGGACACCTCTGGTCGTGTGTGGAGGATGGGGGTGGGAGTAGGACCTCGGTGTGTTTGTTGCAACAGTGGCAGTATTTGCAGTGTTCCCCCAAATAAATATTGAGTACATATGCTTATCAGAATGAGAATGATTATATATATGTATATGTGCATGGAAAAGAAATAAATAAATGTTCCAAATGGAGAAAAGTATTAGTAATAGAAGCCCACTCAGTTATTAAAAAAGTAATTGCAGTTTCTCTTGATGCATGAATAGTATATTTGAAACGTGTGGTGGCTCAAAGATGAATTAACAAACAGAAAGAAAATTGAGACACTGTATTCTTATTCCCAGGATTAACTGTATGCTGTTTAAATGTTTGTGTTTAACAGTACAAATCACGTCTCCTATATCTAACACAGAGCCAACCTCGGCAAATACGTGTATTTTGTTCAGAGTATAAACAAAGCCAAGCCTCAGGTAGAGAAATGGCTGGCTTTGGAGTCAGTTGATGTACAAAACAACAAAAAGCATTTCCTTATTTGCTTTGTACAGAACATATGCTGTGATTCGGTGTCAAGTTGTGGAAGAGGCTTACCAATAAACAGATGTACTTTTTCTCGAAGGTACTACCTGTGCCACATATACTATTGTGATAAGTAAAAATAATTTTAAATTAAAGATAAAGTATGCATCCCTTAGCATAAGCAATGATATGAAATATATTTCTTAGGCAGTAGGATGTCATAATTTTAATAAGATCCTTCAGTCCAAGAAGGAACAGTAAGATGCTGGGTTGATCATTAGAATGAAATCTGTAGCGGTCATTAAAAATAATGTCCTATAGAACTTCCGGTCCAGACGGCGGTATTGTGTCCTCCCACAACCACATCAAAGTCACAACTAAACTACAGAACAACCATCCTTCAGAACCGCCTGGCATCGAGCTGAGTGGAAGTCCTACATCTACGAGATTAAAGCAGCAGCCACAGGAGACTGGCAGGAGGGCGGAGGGGACGGGCTGGTCCCACACCCACGTGTGGCGGATAAAAATCAGGAGGACACCTCGGCTGGGAAGGTCCTCCCTGAGGACTGAGGGGTCCCCGTCCCACACCAGGCCCCCAGCTCAGGGTTCCAGTGCCAGGAAGAGAATCCCCATAACTTCTGGCTGGAAAAACCAGCGGGAACTGAGGCTCAGGGAGGCTAAAGCGGCTGGAGCCCCAGGCAGCTCCTTAAAGGGCCCGCGCACGGACTTATCAGACTCTCTCCCTCTAAGCTTGGAGGGGAGGCAGCTCGAGGGGCACCAGAGACACACAGGGAAGAACTGAGCTGTTTGGCACTGGAGCGAGGGCTGGAGAGGGGGCTTTCTTCGAGACAAACTGCTGTCAGAGGCCTTTGTTCCTTTGGTGAGCCCTTCCCTGGGGCAGCAGACAGCCCCCATATCTGGGACTCCAGCAACCTGGCTCACAGGGGTAGCCCCACCCTGGTGACTCCCTGAGGCCCCGCCCCACCCAACTTTCAGGCCCACCCAAGCTGTTGCCAGTTGCTTTACCATAGAATTGACCTGTCTTGGATCCTGCTTCAGGTTTTCCTAAATTCTTTCAAACAAGCAGCATCTGGTCTCAGCTAGCCCCATAACTCTCATTAAGTAAGAAACAAACACAGGGAGGCAGCAAAAATGAGGAGACAAAGAAACAGATCCCGAATGAAAGAGCAAAACAAAATCCCAGGAAAAGAACTAAGCAAAATGGAGATAAGCAACCTAACAGATGCTGAGTTCAAAATGCAGCTTATAAGGATGCTCAATGAACTTAGTGAGAACCTCAGCGAACTTAGTGAGGATCTCAAGAGCATAAAAAAGGACACCAGTCAGAAATCAAGAATGCATAGTCAGAAATGAAGGAGGCACTAACTGAAATAAAAAATAATTTGCACAGATTCAATAGTAGGGTAGGTAAAACCAAGAAGTAAACCATCAATTTGGAAAAGAAGGAAGCAAAAAACACCCAATCAGAACAGCAAAAAGAAAAAAGAATCCAAAAATATTAGGATAGTGTAGGGAGCATCTGGGACAACTTCAACTGTGCCAACATTCGTATCTTGGGGGTGCCAGAAGGAGAAGAGAGAGAACAAGAAATCGAAAACCTATTTGAAACAATAATGGCAGAAAAATTCCCTAACTTGGTGAAGGAAACAGACATACAAGTCCAGGAAGCACAGAGAGTCCCAAACAAGATCAACCCCAAGAGGCCCACACCAAGACACATCATCATCCAAATGCAAAAGGTTCAGGACAAAGAGAGAATCTTAAAAGCAGCAAGAGAAAAGCAGTTAGTTACCTACAAGGGTGTTCCCATAAGACTGTCAGCTGATTTCTCAAAAGAAACTTTGCAGGCCAGTAGGGAGTGGCAAGAAATATTCAGAGTGATGAAAAGCAAGAACCTACAACCAAGATTACTCTATCCTGCAAAGCTGTCCTTTAGAATCGATGGCCATATAAGGACTTTCCCAGACAAGAAAAAGTTAAAGGAGTTCATCACCAAACCGTTATTATATGAAATGATGAAGGGTCTTTTTGAAGAAAAAGATAAAATATATGAACAAACAAAATGGCAATGAATACATATTTATCAAAAATTGAATCTACAAACAAAATGAACAGGCAGAACAGAAATAATCTCATAGATACAGAGAACAATTTGTTGGTTGCCAGATAAGACGGGGGTTGGGGGAATGGGTGAAAAAGGTGAAGGCATTAAGAAGAACAAATTGGTTGCTAGACTGACAAACCTCAAAGGGAAGGGAGTTGGGAGGTAGAAAGAAATAAACCAATCCTGGCCGATTTAGCTCAGCAGTTAAAACGTCGGCCTGTGGTCCAGAGAGACCCGGGTTCGGTTCCCGCTAAGGGCATGTACCTCGGTTGCAGTTTGTCCCCGGCCCTGGTTGGTTGTGCGGGTGGCAGCCATTCGATGTGTCCCTTTCACGTTGATGTTTCTCTCTCTCTCTCTCTCTTCTTCTCTCTCCCTCCCACTCTATCTGAACAAAAAATGGAAAAATGTCCTCGGGTGAGGATAAAAAAATAAAAAAAATAAACCAAAGAACTTATATTCATAACCAAGGGACACAGACAACAGTGTGGGAAAAGGCAAAAGGGGGGTGGGAGTGGAGAGGAGGGGGTCAATGGGGGAAAAATGAGGAACATCTGTAATACATTCAACAATAAAGATAAATAAATAAAAGAAAGAAAGAAAGAAATGTGGAATCATGATAAAAAGAGAAAGAAAGAGAGAAAGAAAGAGAGAAAGAGAGAAAGAGAGAAAGAGAGAAAGAGAAAGAAAGAAGAAAGAAGAAGAAAGAAGAAAGAGGAAGAAGGAAGAAGGAAGAAGGAAAGAAGGAAAGAAGGAAAGAAAGAAAGAAAGAAAGAAAGAAAGAAAGAAAGAAAGAAAGACTTATAAACTACTCTTAGTCTTGTTCACTACCCAGGCACAAAACATTGAGGATAACTGAGTAAATTACCTTAGCTTATCACTAATGTATGAAATGGCCATAATAAAATCTATTTGTCACACAAGAGTATTTTCCAGTCAAATAGGATTATGTGACAGCCAAGACTTCTTAAAAATATAAAGCAGCCCAGCCAGTGTGGCTCACTCGTTAGGTGTTGACCCGTGTGCTGGGAAGTCACTGGTTTGATTCCCAGTGAGGGCACAGGCCCAGGTTGTGGGCCCAGACCCCAGTGAGGGGGATGCAGGAAGTGGCCAATCAATGTTCTCTCTCATCAATGTTTCTCTCTCTCTTCCTCTCCTTTCCTCTCTCTGGAGTCAGTAAGGAAAAAAGGAAAAACTTAAAAAAAAAAGTATAAAGCATTCAAATTATTAAGATTGCTCAACACCATATTGCAGACAAATACTAAATAACGACAAGCATTGTTCGGGATTAGGAAGAGCAGCAGCTCCTTCTGTGTACAAAAGACTCCTAACTCTAACGTTGACGTTCTCAACATTCACATAGAACTGACCAATCCTGTAGAAAAATCGAGCATTGCACTCACCATGAGTCTCATCTTCAACCCATTTGTTAATTTTATATTTGGTGTCTTCTACAGCATTTGTATAGTCGACTCCTTCCACTTTGGCATTGTATAATTTTTCAGCACACCTAATATAATCCTATAAATACAAATAATATACAGTTCTATAAGAAACACGCAGTTCTATTTACAAATCACCACCAACTCAGCACTTAAAAAACATATTCCTGAATTTGTCTCTTTGTTTTCGGTACCTCACTCAAGGATTCATTCCTGGAAGAGGAGGTGGAGAACTCAGGCTCATTGTTGAACTGAAGGTTAATCCACATGGATGGGGAGACTAACAGAGACCATGGCTAATGCCCACCTCCCTGCCTTTACCACTGCTTTCTCACCATAAACACTTCAGGAGCCTCAAACTTGTCTCCCTTGCTGATGTCACCCCATCCTACTGAAAATTTGCCAAGGCTACCTCTTGAACTTAAGGTAAAGCCCAAATCCCTGGACCTGGTCTGCAAGGCTCTGCTGACCTGCATCCCACTTCTCTCGTTTCTAGCCACTGTCCCCTTTATCCTGCTCCCTAGCAACACCCAACTCCAGGAAGCTCCTCAGAAGTGTCATGAGTCCTGTCTCTCTGGAGGTCCTTGAACAGTTGTGTCTTACTTGCTTTCTAGTTCCAAGCGTAGATGCCCTTCCTTGATAGAAGTCTTCCCTGGGCCCCTCCTGAATCCTCCAGTAGTCCCTTAGCCTTCATTTCCTGACCAACTCTTATCACACTGCATCTTACTTACATCTGAGGTTCCTGAGCCCCTCACAAGACAGTAAATTCCGTGAAATCAGGACCACATATGCCTTAGTGATCATTGTAATCCCGGCCCTTGGCACATTGCACATAATAGGTGTTCAAGAAATATTTTTTTTCAATAAAAAGAAATAATAGAAATCTAATAAATCAACACACCAGCAATAGAACAAATATACACATACAAATTTTGAGAAAAAGTTTTTTTTTATAATTGGGGAAAATAAAATTCATTACCAAGGGTATGTATTGTCAAGGGATACTCTGATAAGCTTGATAGGATTTTCAACCCTAATAATTAGGATTGGTTAGTTATCCACTGTCTGTCTGCAGGATGATATTACCTCTATAAAGAAGGCTTTGTGTGTAATTTCCATGAATAAGGCTCTTTTGATCTTCTTGTTTATCCATCCATCCATCCATCCACCCATCCATCCACCCATCCATCCACCCACCCATCCATCCATTCATCATCCATCCATTCTGACACTGGCTACAAAGAGTAGTTTTCAGAATCAGTTCCTGGCCAGACAAGTTGATGAGTGCAGGGTGCCAGCATTTCCAGAAAATTCTAGAAGAGCTTCGGGCCACCAAGAATTTCTGTGTATATGTGTGTGTGTTATGCACCTAACTTTTGTTTAGCCCAGCTAGCATGTCTTGCCAATCCCCCTCAAGCCCTGCTGCTTATGCCCCTAAAATAATGCATAAAACATAAGCAACAAAGAAGGAAACTATTAAGGATTTACCGTCTGTCCATATGCTTATTGGTCAATTGAATATGTTCTTTTGTAAAATGTCAGATCAAGCTTTTCCTACTGGGCTGTTTGGCTTTTTCTTATTGTTTCATTGGAGTTTTTGGTTTTGGATATCAGTGTTTGGATGCTTATATGTATCACAAATATGTTCTGCCCCGTTTTACTCTCTTCGTGATGTTCTATAATAAAAATACATTCTTTATTCTAATGCCATCTCTCCTGTCTGCTTTATCTTATTAGTGCTTTCTGTATCCTAAAACAAAGATTTTTTTTTAAAACTTTGATTATCCAAGGTCTTAAGAATAATCTATATTTATCTACTACACACTTTCGTTGTTTCACCATTCACATTTATATCTATGATCCACCTGAAATTGGTTGCTTTGTATACAGATCGGTGTATTTTTCTCTATGGATAGCCAGTTCAACCAATGCCAGTTATTACAAACTTCCCTTCCTTGTTGATCTGCGGAGTCACAATGATCACAAATCGAGGTTCTCTGTGTGTCTGTCTCAGGATCTCTACTGTGTCCCCCTGGTCTACAGTCTATCTCTACAAAAATGCCACCAAATCTTAATTATTATAGCTCTTAAGCCTTAATTTCCAGTAATTTAAATCCTCTGGATTTTTTTTTCTTCACAGTTAACTTTTCTTAATTTTTTGCATTTCCATGTAAATTTTAAAATCAGCTTGGTCATAAATTTCTCCCAAATCAATTGCTTTGAATCTATAAATAAATAGACATCTTTATAATATTGAGTATTTTATACATAAAATATATCCTTTGTCTTTAAATTCTTCTTTCTTTAGTAATTTTTTGATTTGTGGATATCTTTCATTAGATTCATTCCCAGGTATTTAATGTTTTATAATACCACTGTAGATGTTATTGTTTTTAATTTTATTTTTAATTATGAATGAAACAAAGAAATACTAATGAGTTTATATGCTAAACTTGCTAAATTCACTATTAAATCTAATAACTGATTTCTAAAATCTTTTATATTTCTACATGCACAATTGTTATCTGTGGATAATGATAACTTTATTTCCTCCTTCCCAAACCAAATAAATTTTACTTCTTTTTCTTTTTATCTGTGACCTCCAGTTCAATGTTTGTATTAGTTATGACTCCAGTAAAATGTTTATGAAAATGTTACGAAAACATCCTCATCTTGTTCCTGGTGTTACTTTCACAATGTAGCGAATTACATTTATTGACTTATAAATGTTAACATTGAATCCCATCGTCATCTCTGCATCCCCACCATACATATGGTTCTTTGCACTTGGTCAGTGCTCAGGAAATGGTTGTTGAATACTAAGGTAGAGAGTACCTTAGTGACACTTTGTTTTAGCTGCCATGACAATACTATGCACAATTTCCATTTTCAATGCATATTGAAGTTTCAAAATTACAAATTAAACCATGAAAACTGAGAGCCTTAGAGACTGTTTAGTATAATTCTCTCATTTTATCAACCAGGATTACTGAAGGACACAGAGCAATGAAGTAACAGACTTAGGACTCAGGTGAACCTGAACTGAACCTGGCGTTCTTCATTGTACCTGAATGTCTTTGAAAAATGAATATGTGATTCAGTCATGTGGAAGGCCCTTTGATTACATATAGTGCTACAGGGTTTCAGATTGGGAAAAAGTGTTCCTCTGATCATTCTGGTCTTCTTATAGGCTATAGTTTTCTCTTCTTCCATCAGGGACTATCCTCTTCAGTCAGTGGCCTAGGTGAGACTCTTCTTCTCTGTGGTCTGCATTGATGCAGTCTCCTGGTTGGGTTGTTGAATTAAAGATTTTTTATTGTGTATGTTCCTGTAAGCAGGGGAGACTAACTGAGATTCCCCCATCCTGTGACAAAGAAAAGAGTTTTTTCTCTCTTTTTTTTAAATTGAAGAATAAATGGCTTTCATTATTCAAAGTTCCATTAGAGTATCATGATGCTTAAACTGTTACTCATCTCTTGCTTTTGGAAATATCTGATGGTCATCAAGTTGTAGTAGGAAGAGCCCTCGTTACAGTAAAACCACATGGGTGCAATCTACATGCTAACGTTCTGTTTCCAACACATGGAATGAAGATCAAGGGCATAGCTTTTGATTTGTAAGAACCAACTGCTCTATAAGCTTCACTGTATCATCTTCTTCACGTTGCCAAACAATCCGCAGACCTTCTGTGCCCCCATTCTTCAAATTATTGATCAGCTCTCGCCTTTATTGTGTTTCTAAGTGCCTTGTTCTGTACACACACTGAAGGCCAGAAGAAGGGGAACACAGGGAGTCTGCTATAAATAGTAGCATGACAGACACATCAATGTCCAATTGAAGAGAGTTGGCAGTCCTTCAGGGACACGGCAGTATTTGTGGGAATAGAGACACAAACGTGGGGCCGGACATACAGGGTGGCCCCTACAACACTTGCCTAGGATTCTTTGGGGAAGGTTTTTAAAAAACAAAGTGACCTAATGCTTCACAACTGGCAGGCTGCCAAAGGACTTGGGTGTGGTGCTGGAAGGGACAAAGAATGTGAGTGGGTGACAGGCAGAGGAGATAAGAGTGGTTGGGTGGAACACAGAGAGCTGGGAAGGCACAGGTGGGGATTCCTCCAGAATTGTCACAGAGGAGCAGTTTCATGGTTGTCTCAGAAATGGACAATTAAAAGGGAGAACAAACATGCCCAGAGGATCATGGCCACTGTGTCTGCTTGAGCCGCACTAACCAGCTTCTGGTTGTCACAGCAATGCTGGTTCTAGAGTAGGGGTTGAGCACAGCAACCTCAAGGGTGCATTCTGATCTCGTGGGTATTTGGATGAGCAGATACTAGGATGGATAAATTGATGATACAAACACCACAGAGTAATACTAAAATTTAGTCTGCTGACCTCAAGAAAACCTACTCCCCACCTCTGTGTCAGGTCTGAACTGCTCCTCTGCCCATGGCTGGCCTCATCCGGCTATGTCTCTTACCAGGAACTCTTTTTATAAATGAGTTTCCTGAAAAGACAAGTCAGTCGGTCCTGCAAGGAGAAACCGAAGGGCATGGCTGAGAACAAAGGAGGTGACTTTACCACTGGAGTTGCAAAGCTACTCTAGGAGACAAAGCTCAGAGAAAAAATGGACAGTCTCCCCTGCTGCCCAAGGACCACCCTAGGTGGGCTGTCTGCTCCCCGACCCCAGTGACAGGTCCATATCACAGCCAGGCAGGTTGTCTTCAGTTATTGGAGCCTGTCCATCCAGCGACCCGAACTATGTGGATCACTCGGGTATAGTTATACTTTGAAAACAGGTGATGCTATTGTGAATACACCTGGGAGCATCGTTAGTAGTGACAGGAGAACAAAATCACCGTTGTATGGCTCAGTGGAAAGAGGTAAGCCTTTATGCGCATGCTGGACTGAACAAAACTCAGGTCCAGAATGAAAATAACCTTCTAAGACAGGAGGCGGAACTTACCTCATGAAAGTCAACCACTTTGTCTGCAAAAAGACCATCGGCAATGCTGAGTTCGTAATCCTGGTGGAATGAGTTTATGTTGGAGAGAAGTCTTTTCAGTTGAGATTGGACTCCTGGCTGTTATTAAAAAGATTTATAAAAAGTTATTCTTGGGCTGCAAAGATATGCATACTCTTATTTACATAGTAAATAAAACATGTACATCGTACCATAAAATAATTAAAAATAATATTATAAAAGCAGCAAGTAATGTCACGTGAATCGACAATTGGCTCACAGTAGTGTCTGTGATCAAAGTTAATTAAAGGATTTGCCAAAGTAAATGATTAATCTTAGAATAATATTATTAACAGAAGATAATAGATTTGCCTACTATGTGCACTAATTCATTTTACCAATGTAAATTGGCTGTGAATATCAAAGATAAAAGTAAAACATTTAGTCCTATACTACTTTGCCCAGATCTGGCTGACACACAAGTATTGGTAAGTTAATAATTAACAAAAATATTATCAAAAAATGGTGTTTGAAATATTCGCAGTATGGAATTCTGAGTGAAACATGTTCCTTTGCTTTAAAAGGACAAAGAGCATAATTAAGTATATCAGTGAGACAAGAATTTTTCTAAATTTAGTCTTGAAGTCTGTTTTTCTATAAGAAAACATTGTCTTTACCTGCGTATTAGAAGAGTTTCCATGTCCTGAGCTGACAGCATTGATGTGGAGAATCTGCAAACAGGGATAGGGAAGCAGTTAGCAGGTCATGCTGAACAAGAAGGGACCTGGGGAAATCAGACAAGGCATGGAGATTTCATTGGGTGTGTGTGTGTGTGTGTGTGTGTGTGTGTGTGTGTGTGAGCACACAGGGCAGGAATGAAATGTGCAGCTACCCTATTGACTTGGTGAAAACAGATGGTTCATTGGAGAAAGCATAATTTGGGAGAGTTAAATCGATAGCTACAAATGAAATGTGTTTAATTATTTGAGTTGACTCATTCTGGGGGAGTAATTGAAATGCCCACTAATTAAACCTGGACAAGGATGAAAAGGGGTCAAATGAAAACTCTCTGTAAGCAAGTGGGAGGCAAGATTAACCCGAACCCATAGGCACCCTCGCGTGAAACGGAGACGTTGTTATTGACTAGAAATTCCTAAGTATGAAGCTAAGTTAGGACTTGGGAGATATAATTTTTCATCCTGTAATTATTTGAAATTAAGTCATTTTAAGCTTTTTCCCTTTCCAGTGTGACTGTCAGAACCTCATTATTCTAATAATTGCTCTATGCCCAAGTCTTGATTTTCTGTTGCACTTGAGCTAAAATCCCCCAGACCCTTATGTCCATGGGGTCTCATGCCAGCTCCTCTGTGAGGAAGTGATAAAGGTTACTGCCCATCTGACACTCACCTGTGCAAATGACTGGAGCAAACTAAATGTGTGCTATCTCCAGGGCTTGAAGGACAACACACAGAGGTAACCATGGACTCGTTTAACTTACATTCCCCCAACCAATTGTTTGAAAGGTCTAAATAGCCACCAGGCAATGGTGGATTTGCTCCTGTGCCTCAGTTTGTGACTCCTAGAATCTTATTGGTTGGAGCTTTTTGTAGAAATGTGTAGCTTCTCTTTAAGGGGCCCTGTAGTCTATTTTTGAATCACATCCCTAGTGGGCAGTGGGGATGAACAGAGGGGAATTTCATTAAACAAGTCTATCTTGCTCTCGGTGCCTCTGTGAGAACTTTCAACATCAAGGCTTCATAGTCCTAATTAATGGCAACATCTTATTGGCTGGGGGGGAAATGGAACAGCTCAGAAGAGACATGAAAACTTAACAAGGCCAAGAGCGTCACTATTAGTCTTAATAGGTCACAGATCATTGAAACCTACCTCGTTTCTACATCCTCCTAATCTTGAATAACATGAGATGGAATGAGAGATAAGGTAAAATCAACAAGGCAGATTTGATATATAAATTAGTAGTTAATTGAAAATTCACAAGTGGGGTCATGTTTTCCTCCAATTCTATGATGTTGTGGAGCGTGAGAACATGTTGCTTTGGCCAAACACGAAGATTTTCAGTGTCTTAAAGAAAATTGTAGTTATCATCTCTTCCCAATTAATAGAGCTCTGAGGGTATTTAAGGAATTCTGCTTCACAGCTTTGTGGTGAGTTTCACCGACTGTGACTCCACTGGCGAACTTGGAGTTGGTAACTTGTCACGAAGAGAGGCAGGTTCCACGAGAACCTTCCATTTCCATGGAATTATTTATTTTGTTGTTACAAGGAGAGGAACTCAAAGCATGAGTCCTTATAACTTGGACTATGTCATTGCAGTTTTTTATTCTGCATTGTAACACTGATGTTAGAAACGAGATGTTTACCTCTTCGTGCTCCCCCAAATGAAAACAAAAAGGTTGCAAACAGAAGTTGTCACCATCAGTCAGCTCTGGCCAGACTGTGTCCACCAACCTTGAACTTGGGTGGTCCCTTGTGTGTCTTTCCTCCCTAAGGTGAGGGGCTGGGGGTGGGAGGGTCCAGTTCTATGAGCTTTGAAAGTTTAGGGAGAAAAATGTAACCAAGAGAAAGCTGAGAACATGTTGGAAGTCATAGTTATTATTAAGTAATCTTGAGTAAAATAAGAATGTCTTTGTGGCAAAACCTTTTCCACAATAATGTCTGCTCCTCAGAATTGTAAACATTTTATTCACTATCTCATAAAAAGAACCTAGTAATTAACGTGAAGCCTGGCAAGGAGAAATAAAATCTCTGCATTTGGGGCCAAAATTCCTCTTAAAGCACACTAACTTTTTTAATGTTCTGTAGTTTTCTTAAAAAAAAAAAAAATTCCTAAAGTCACTATTGTATAGATTTGGAAGTAAATGGATGTACTAGAAAATAAAATACCATCATAAAGTCTCAGGACAGAAATATACTAATCTCTTTTCTGAGCTAACTTGTGGAACCTAGACAATATTATAAAAATTATATGAATATCCAGAAATTATTCTTCTTAACTTTTGAGAAAAACTTAAATATATGTATCAATATTTAACATCCTTCTTTATTTCTAATTTTACTCCAGTTTGATATTAACTTGGTTGTCTTTTCTGACATTTCTAGTTGGCTTCTAGTGAAGTAGACTGATACAATATTAAGGTGATACATATCTGTTCGCATATATTTTTTTTAATTCTAAGAAATTACAAATTGAATAATAAAACTACTTTAACTAACAATGAGTAATCATACTGGTAAATACTTAAATGTGATAAATATTAAATAAAATTTCAAAGGCTATAATTATCATAATTTGAAATGCTAAGAATCCTATACTTTCATATACCCTAGAGAGTCCCTTGGTAGGAAAATCAAAATTTCTCTTTTTTTAAATAACTGGTAACATATTTAGATGATGGCAAAAAGAGGAAAGTCATGGGTTTATTCAATGTAAGAAATTTCAGAATACCAGAATTGAGGGGTAAAAAAAAAAAGATATTCTGAGTCAACCTGTATCCCAGTGGGCTGCTACCTGTTTCTGTGTGTGCATGTGTGTGTGTGTGTGTGTGTTTATGCCAAATTACAAAACTATTATATCTTCCCACAAAAGTGGTAGAATAAGTAATATATTATAATGATTATTTTTGTAATGTTTTTGGTAAAACCCAATTGTGTTTCAGAACATTTAAATTTGTATAACCTTTAAATACTATTGTAATAGAAAGACGTGATTTAGGATAAAAATGTATGACATGCTGTGTTTCAATGGAAATGTTATGTGAGAGAGAAGAGAGGGTCAAGAAGCTCAGGAAAAAAAAGGAAATAAAATGTTTAAACTTTTCTATTAAAACAAGAAGCTACAGTTATATTAGAGCTAAATAAAAGAACATGAAACTGAACACACAGCCTTGTAAATAAATACCCTTTCCTGGTTCTCTTACTCAGATGACAAGCAGCGTCCAGGTCACCTGAACACCCCTGAACCCCACTCATGCTGCTTCTGGGCTTTAATACTATTGTCTGGTAAAGAAACCAGGCTTTGCAGAGAGTAGCTGACTTTTCCTTGAGCCAAGAAAATTCAAGACAAGTCTAAAATATCCTGTTGTCAGCAAGCACAGATATTTTATAGTCATCTGGAAGAATTTATTTAAAAAGATAGGTTTAGCCCTGACCAGTTGCTCAGTGGTTAGAGCATCGACCTTCAGACAGAAGGCTATTGAGTTTGATTCCAGTCAAGGACATGTAGCTGGGTGGCAGGTTCCATCCCTGGCTCCAATCAGGGTCATGCAGGAGGCAATCAATCAATGGGTCTCTCTCATATCGATGTTTCTCTCTCTCTCCCTCCCTCTCTTCCACTCCATCTAAAAATCAATGGAAAAATATCTTCGGGCGAGGATTAACAAAAATTAATAATAAAGTTTAAAGGGATCAGTGCTGCAACCATTTGAGCATCGAAAAGGAAGCGGACTGTTGGGCCATGCCAGGGTTTGGGAGAGACACACAGATGGATGCTATAATGGGAGGAATCGGGGGGCACAGGGGTGACAGTGGCCTCCACATGCAGCCTGGACCTGGTGTCCCTTCTGCTACTGAATTTCAGTGATACATTTCTGAGAGAAGAGAAGAGGGGAAATCGTGAACATTGTGCTTCCCTGTGCAGCCTGGCTCAGGGCAGTGCACAAGAGTGAGCTCATAAGCACTTTCTAACAGGTGGTGGTGACATGTGATGACCATCCAGGTAGGCTGCTGGAACATCCTATTGCGGCATTTAAATGGTTCTCGAACTTTCGTATGTACACAGGGAGCTTATTAAAGCACGGACTGCTGGGCTCTATCCCCACGGTCTCTGACTCAGTAGGTCCGGGTGGAGGCCCAAGCACTTGCATTTCTAACAAGTTCTCCAGGTGATGCTGATGCTGCGGGTCCAGGAAACACGCTTTGAGACCCTGCGCTAAGGAAAAAGGACCAAAGCTGCAGTTCTGGACATATTTCTGCTGCCTCCCAGCTGAAGAGCAAGGGCTGCGAGCTGTGTGCATTCTTCACACCTGGAGAGGGGCTCATGGCTCTGTGTTCACTGACCTGGGACCACTGCAGTCAAACATTCGCTGGGGGAAAACAAGTTGCCCTAAAGAGTCATCGCAGAAGCCACAACCGAGACTGACCTTATCCATCTGAGAAGCACAGTCACCTCGCACACCCAAGCGGACCATGGCCAGGGCAGTGATGATGCTCAGAGAGGAAAAGAACACATTCCCACTTCCTTGACTGTTATCGATCTCTCGGAACAGATTGAAGCAAAAGTCTGCATTTACTGCAGCAAGGGAGGTCATCGTGAAACGGAGTGTCACCTAGAGAAGACGGGGAAATGATATGAGTTCCGAGTATGTTTTCTGTGAATATAATGGGTTTTATATTCTTTTACTTTTTAAAAGGTTCATTTCTTCAGCCTTGGATGTAACCATCACATAACTTAGAACAAAGAAAATTGTTCCTTTGGGCTAGGTTCTTGTTACCGACACTCTAAAACTGTGTCTTCTGACAACAATATTATGAAATATTCACTTTTTTTTACATTGATATTCTCTAGTGCAATGCTTCTGTGTTTCTGCCCATGGTCTTATATTCTTATCTAGAACATAATCTCGTTTCTCCTTGATGTGGCATTTCTATGCAGTGGCCTCTGGTAATTTCATTTTTATTGAATTGATTGGGGTGACACTGGTTAACAATACTATACAGGTCTCAGGTCCATGGTTCTACAACACATCATCTGTACACTGTACTGTGTGCCCACCACCCCAAGTTAAGTCTCCTCCCGTCACCATTTATCCTCCCTGGACCCTCCCCCACCTCACTGTATCCACCCTCCCCCAGCATTTTTAAATCCTAAGCAGACACATTCATGGGGCCTATTCTAAAATCACTTCAGATTTCTAAGCTGAAATAAAGCCAACGTGCTGTTTGCAGTAAAATAAATATTACAACATTAGACAGTTTATCAAAGGGGCTATAGTCCTGGAGATGTAACACAGCATTTCCTTACCCATTGTCTCCATCATAGCTTGCAAATACAGTCTTAGAATAATCATACATCTTAACTTTTTCTTAGGACCATCTTAATTTATAATAATCATCATACTTGGTCCTATCGGTGTATTTATTATTTTCAGACAATTTTCTGATTCCTCTGGAAATGGAAATGGAATTACCATATTATGTATCACAAAGAGTCACAAGACTTTCCAACACAGAGGTCTGTCTCTTACTAGAGAACCTAAGGTGGAATGGCCAATAGGAAATGAGATTATCTTTCAATTCTTGATAATGTTGTTTCTGCCCCCACCATGAAATTCTTCAGGAATCTGTTTTGGTATTTCATTGCAGACTTTCTCCATAATACTCAAAGTGATCCCAATACCACAGTAGAGGTTGTCCCAGACTATATGAATTAACATAAATACTCCAAATCATTCCCTGTGTATATTCTGTGGTATCACATCTAATGGTGTGGTAGTTCTCAAGAGATGACAGCCCTTAAGGGACCCAGTCTTAACCCCAATCCTGTTGCTAATAGTTGTGTGACCTAGGTTAAGTCTTTAACTTCTCTGAGCTTTTAAGTTTCATCTTATTCAATGAGATGATCGATGTACAAGTCATAAAAAAAAATATGTCCTTCCCCCCTTCCACCTGTAAGTGGACCGAACCATGATATCAGGGCATTTAGGGGGAAGGGGTCAAGACATAGGGTGGAAACAAAAGAAGGTCAAGAGGAGGGACATACGTGGGGTTTAAAATAATAGTGTTCTAAAACTGTCATCGTACTGACTTTGTTAAAGTCACAAAAACACAATGCATTTCAAAATTTAAAATGACATTAAAGTAAGTTTTCAATTTCTATTTTACCAAATGAGACCTGAGTTTTAAAATATGAGTCCTGGCCGGTGTGGCTTAGTTGGTTGAGCATCATCCCATGCACCAAGAGGTCACCAGTTCAATTCCCAGTCAGGGCACATGCCCAGGTTTCGAGTTTAATCCCCAGTAGGGGGAATGCAGGAGGCAGCCGATAGACGTTTCTTTCCCATCAATGTTTCTCTCTCTCCCTCTCCTTCTCTCTCTCTCTCTCTTAAAAAAAAATAAATAAATAAAAATATATTTAAAGAAAAAGCTCATTTCATTAAAAAAATAGAAAAATAAAATTGAGAAAAAGCTCTATATATTGCCTAATGCAATGTAGACGATCAATTGATTAAAGCTACTACATTAATTATTTTCTAGAGAATGGTAACAATCTGTTCTGTTCTGAAAAGCAACAAATTGGACCTTGTCAGAGTGTTCTGAGGACCCCTCTTCTGCACTTTGGAATTCCAACCCTGAGAACATCACTGAGACACAAGGCCTTAAATGAGACTGTCTTTCAAGGTCAAACACAGCTACTTTTCAATTCACTGTAGATCCCACTCTCCAATTACAACCCCCAAGAACACAGGGCGAGAAATCATTCACACTCCACACAAAATTTACTCCAAGAAAGAACATCTATACTCTTTTAATAGCTATCCAGAAAAATATGTAACTAGCGTCATATTGAATCCAGTGAGCAATATTCACTGTGTGTAAGGTCCCCAAACTTTTTATGGAGACTCAAAATCTTATTTTACAACTGAGAAATAAGTATTATTTCTAAAATGTAAAAAAATGGTAAGATTTTTGAGAATACAAGATTAATGAGAGTATAAGTAAATACACTAAATTGAAGCATAAGTTGATTTTTATATTAAGTTTAGTAGTGATAAAAAAGTTTCTTAATTTTAGGGAGAAATTGTGAGCTAGATTCTCTTGGAACAGTTTCCAAGACTTCACGTTGATTGCTGAAGGTCACAGTAAAAGAAATAAATGACTTTAAACTTAAGTCATAATAATCCTCTTAAGCTATTTACAGTAAAAATTATATTTAATGGAGAACTATGGATATATTTTAACACATTTGGTATAACATGTGTTATAGAATCTTTAACACAAGACCTGAAAGATTTTTAAACGACCCTGTTTGGGGGCCACCTTCTTGGCCCAATGGGGTCTGGAAGATGCTTAGTAAGGACCGTATTCTGAAGCCCGGAAGCACACTTTTCAGTACATTTTTCTTTGGTCAAGCTCCGACTTGTCTTGCTGTTTTAGAAATTTATGTTTTACTATTTTACCTTCTGGGGTGAAGAAAAAAAAAAAAAACTCTTTCAAATCATTCATTAAATCACTTTTTAAGCAATAATCACAAATGTTCACTTTCTAATCTTTTAGTTCTGCTGACTTCTCACGAAACGTACTGAAGAGAAGCTACGCAGAAATCTGTGTATTCGGGCATCAAGTACATACTATTTATCACTTCGGTAAGTTTTATGGCAAAGGAACCATACTAGAAAAATAATAATTTCAGGGGTGTATGAACCGAAACGTTCCTCAACAATTCTCAAGCAATGGCTTTTGAAATGATAAACGTCACTAGGTAATATACCTTTAAGCATTCTTGTTCATACCTGTTGAAAATAAATACCAAAAATTATGTTCACTTCACATAACTGATTTTACAAGCTTTATGTAGGTGCACACTGTGGGTTCCAGAAATTAAAGCGAAATTTTTTTCTTCTCGTTTGGCATAAAGTTGGAAACTCCTTGGCAAATAGGTAACTACGTTCAACGCTGACTTAATTGTTTTGCACCCAGGTTCCCATCAGATAAACAAATGTTAACCTGGTACCAAAACTGTGGTTTTTCCTTCTCCCATAATTTCTCTTCACAGCAACTCTTTTTACAAAGAATGTAATTCAACAAGCCATCAACATGTACCTGACGACTTGGGGCCTCGCTAAAAACTAAAGGAAAGTGAAAAGGAAAATAAATTAAGTTACCTAAAGGAGACCAGTATGCTACTATCCGGTATGCTGTTGTCCAGACACACTAATGAAGGGCAATTTTCATATAATAAGAACTTGGCTTTCGATTACCTTTACATTTTACTGCAAATATACCATATTCTTATGTTCCTTACACAAATACTTAGCTTAATATATTGACATGTAGTTAATTTATAATTTTCAAGTTACTACAACTCAAGTTTTCCATCTCAAACATCAGACTTGAGTATCTAGAAGTCCAGGGAAGCCTGAAGTCTATTTGCTTATTTATGGTATATTTCAACCCAAGAAGCATTTTACTCCTTCCTTCCTGTTTCAACACCAAAGAATAAATATGTACTTACTAAAGCATCTGAAAACTCTAATGAAAAGAAATAAAAGTAATTTTTAAATAAAGCATAAGAAAAACCAGGGACAAAATACATTCAATAAAACATGAAAGTGTAATGATAACATTTCATGTACCCAAGCTTATTATACTTAATTGATCAATTATGTCCCTTAAGTGTTTGATCAAAATATTACCTAATCTTAGAATAATTTTTCTCTGTAAAAGGAAAAGTAATTATATTTCATGGTATATTCCTGAGAGAGGAACAAATCTGTTTACCAAACCAAAATAACAGATTGGAGGAAAGAATGAATGAGCACTCTTCAACATGTTTAATTTTTATTGTTATCATATAGTTCAATATAATGCTGTAAATAGAGTTACTCCTTTACAGAAATATTTTCAAATCTTTTCATTTCTATTCAAAATGTGGTCTCAAATATTGATAAATCCCTAATCAGATGTGCACTTTGCTATGCAATTAAAACAGAGTTCAATTCTAATCTTAAAAATTGGTATATTTCAACCTGCAGTTTATTACCTAAGAACACTGGAAATATAGAATTTAGATTTGCACAGAATTCCCTAAGTGCTATTTATCATTCCAAGAATGGAAGACGAGGTGCTCAACTTGTTTGATCCCCTGCACGGTGGTACACACCACGCTCCCCAAGACACTCCATAAAGTCAGCCATAGACAAAGCCATGAGGCAGAGAAGCTGAAAACAGACCAGGAAGCAATTTTTGATATTGTTTGATGAGGTTAGACTCTCAGAATCAGAGAAGCAGCCGTAATTCATTCACTCCTCTCTCTCTTCTCTCTCTCCAATGTATCTGGCCAGACTTTTTAAGTCGTGGGCTTCAGAAATATTTACCTTACTCTCTTCATGGAGGAAGTTGGCAGCTGGTTGGGTGAGTCTGAGAGAGTTCCTCGCACTACTGTGAAATATAAAGCCTGTGACTCAGACACTCCCTCCTTCCTTTTGTGATGACCATGGGACTTTGAAAGAAGGTCATTAAGAAGGAACTGTGCTCAGGCCCTGGATGGAGCAAATTAGAAGTGTGTAGAGAATTACCTACAGACCCAATC